CAAAAAGATGAGTAACTAGACGGTCAGGGAAGTGAATGTGGCGCTCATTGTAAGCAATTTATGCAGGAAGCGCAGCGCAAGACTGGCTTTTCGTTGGGGTATTAGAACTTTACGAGGAAGGGATAGCCGTCGATGGTAGTAGTCATGGTGGAAGATGGAGCAGATAGGATGGGTGGAAAGAGGGTCGGGGAGCAAGGGAAACGAGGAGAGCGAACTACAGGGCTTGTCCGGCAGAATTTTCGGGACAGCAACTTTGAGGCAGTTCACACTCACAACTTCTTCACATGTTCCACGAAGGATGCGGAAGATCTTCAAACCTTCAGATACAACCCATGAGTGACCTTCGTAAGGAGGTTCCAGTGGCTGGCGCACTCGATCACTTTGCAAAAACACATCAGAGCGGGTCACCAAGTATTTTTTTCGAAATAAGACTTGGAGATGGTGTGACTGGGCGGAATCGGGGGCATCGTCCGAGAAAGCTGCAGGATACGGTGCAGGAGATTGATAGGATCGTAGACTGCACTTCGAGGAGTTGGTCAGATCAACTCTTCGGCAAGTCAGAGAGTGGCGCGAATACCAGTTCGGTGTCGCAACCGTCAAGGTCCGGCTTGAGCGAGGAACGGATGCTCAACAGTACCAGGGAATGATGCTCCGTCCAGTTATCCGGATCGCCTGTGGTGCATAGGGATGCCTTCAGCTGGCAGTGGAAGAACCCGACCATCCCTTTGGTAGCTGGATGACAGGCTGTAGAAAGGAAGCGGGTACAGCCTAAAAACAGAGAAGAGGACGTTGCCGATAAGAGCTTTTTGTACGTTTGGACCTTACTCCGTTGAAAAGCGAAGCCAGCCCGTGTCCAAGTTTTCAGGTCCTTGTGCGTCTCAGGTCAGACAAAGCGCTTGGAAACCAGCTTGCTGGTGGCTTGACACCCAAGGTGAGAAAGGCTGGGTGAGGAGGAGAAGACATTGCGTCTGTGGGATGGTGGCAAAAATGGGCGACAGAAATTTGTGGAAATTTTACAAAGAATGGTGCCGTTGCCAGTGGTCAGTGGCAATTCCTGGCATTGAAGTCCAGAAACATCCGGTCACAGAATGAACCAACACAACATTATTCGGCAGCCTCCTCAACGAGGTCGATCACAGGAGTGAATCGCAAAGGGGCAATAGAGGGCCTGAACAATGCGTCAGCCATCTCATTGCGTGGCTCACCGATGTGGCGGATATCTGAGGTTAACTGACACATGTAGTTCTATTGGCGAATCTCCCGTGCGTTCAACTTGTCTGAGTTGAACTTCATGGCGAAGGACGGCGGCTTGTAGGCACAGAAGACAGTGAAGACTCTGCCTTCGAGAAAGTATTGGAAGTGTTTGACCGCGAGGTAGAAAGCCAGGAGTTCCCGTCCAAATGTTCTCTAGCGCGATTCGGCAGTTTTTAACTTTCTAGAGATGAAGGCTAAAGGTGGGTTCTGACCTGAAGGATGCTGCTGGAGAACCGCGCTGCCTGTGCTTTTGGTGGCGTCAACCACGAGAGATACGGGAGCATCGGGCGTTTGATGCATCACGAGCGTGGCATGGCTTAGGACAGCCTTGGCCTTGTCAAAAGCAGTGAGGGCGTGTATGGATAGCTCGAACGAACCTTTGGGACCGGAAGGGAGCTTCGTGAGTGGCAGAATGGTGTCGGCACAGTGATAAAGAAACCTGTGGTAAAAGATCACCATGCCTAAGAATCGCTGGAGTTGACGCTTGGAAGAAATAGGCGGGAAATCGCGAATAGCCGCAACCTTGGAGGGGAGATGATGGACGCCGTTGGTGTCAACCAGGGGTTGG